CCGCCACATCCATCGGCCGCTCCGCAGCCGTCGTCGCAACCACCGCCGCAGTCAGCGACCACAGCGCCGCAGCCCGACTCGCAAGCCGAACTGCTACCACACTTACGACAGGCCGAGGCCTGCGTGCCCAGAGCCAGCAGCATCGCTACCGACAGCAGGGCGACAAAAGATTGCCGCATCGAGGGTGTCCTCCCAGAAAAAAATAGTGGTCGATTCAAAGCCGTCGGGCCTGCGAACGAGTCTGCGCGATCAGTGCAACTCGCTCGCCAGCAGGGGGTGCGAAGGGAATCGGGGCTGATTCTATCTTGCCCAGACTCACCGTCAAGAAATCCCTCCCCACTTAACCCATGCTTCCACAGCGGGTTCTTCAGGGCCCGATCTAAACGGAAAAACCGCCCTACGCAGCCCAGGAACGGCCAAACCTAGGTCACGCGATCGTCGGCGACCACGGTTTGGCGCACAAATTATGTAGAAACCGCCAAACTTAATCTTGCGGCTTCTTGTCGCAGTGCGGCCACGCGCAGGCGAAACGTGAAAGGGGGAGATGCGGCGTCGCGCAGCGTGAGAGAGCTGGCCCCCCCTCAACCAGAATGGCAGCCAAGCTGGCGAACGTGCCGCCAAGCGCCCAGCAATAAGCGTTGCGGAAGAAAAGAATCTGAGCCGTGGGCGCTAGCCCACGGCTCAGACGTTATTTGGAGGCAATCGAGGGTTTCGACGAACCCTCTCGATCGGCCACTCTCGATCGGCCATCGACGCCGATCCTCAGTCAACGATATCGAGCAACTCGATGGTGAACACAAGCGTCTCGTTGGGGCCGATCGCGCCCGGCGCGCCACGCATGCCGTAGGCGATCTTCGCGGGCAGGGCGACCTCCCACTTCGAGCCGACCTTCATCATCTGTAGCGCTTCGGTCCAGCCGGCAATGACGCCGCCGACGGGGAACTCGGCCGGCGTGCCGCGCTTGTACGAGCTGTCGAAGACCTGGCCGTCAGTGAGCGTCCCCTCGTAGTGACAGCGGACGGTGTCCTCGGCCGTGGGGGTGGCGCCGTCGCCCTCGGTGATGACGCGGTACTGCAGACCCGACGCGGTCTCTTGCACGCCTTCCTTCGCGCGGTTCTCGGCGAGGAACTTCGTGCCGCGGGTCAAGTTCTCTTCGGCTTGCTGCGCCATTTCGGGGTTCACCTTCTTAAGCATCATGAGTTGAAAACGATCCATGACGGCGGCGATCTGCTCGTCCGTCAGTTGCGGCTGGGCGCCGCTGAGCCCGTCCTTCAGCCCCGCAACGACGGCGCCGAGATCGACCGGCGTCTCGTCCGCCGCCAGCCGGCTGCCGAAGTCGAGCCCCAGGCAGTAGCCCAGCTTCTCATTGAAGCGGGGGTCCTCGCCTTGCCCCGTCGCTGGCTCGCCCGCGGGGACGCCATCGGTCGCCGGCGCCGGGAGTTCGCCCACTTGCGCCAGCACCGAAGTCGCCGTGGCAAACGGGAAAACCGCAAAGACCAAAGCAGCGAGTGACAAACGCATGGACGCAGAGTTCCGGAGGGTTCGGAGGGTGACAGCCGATTCGGCGGCGGGCCTAACAGGATACCACACCCCGCAGAACCCACCCAGGAGGCGGTCCGTAGCAAATGATCGCCAGACTCGAGGAGCGGGGCTAGAATGGGGCTAATCCCCAACGAGACTCTTCATCCGCCTACATCAGCCGCCCTATCCCCTTCGCACGTTGTTGCCTGTCCTCCAGGTCCGCATGGAATCGAGGCCTTCCTCACCGCCGCACCGGCTCCCTGCGGGGCCACGAACCGGCTTCACCCTGGTGGAGCTGCTGGTGGTGATCGCCATCATCGGCGTGCTCGTGGCCCTGTTGCTCCCGGCGGTGCAGTCGGCGCGTGAGGCGGCACGGCGGACGCAGTGTGTGAACAACCTGCGTCAGCTTTCGTTGGCGGTCGCCGATTATTCTGACACGTACAAAAACTTGCCGGCTGCTGGTGACTTCGGTCCCAAGGAAGAAGCCATTTACGAGTTTGAGCGAACGGGCGAGATACGCGTCGATCTTAAGGCGGGGCGGAACACCAGCTGGATCGTCGCCGTGCTGCCGTTCATGGAAGAATCGGCGCTTTACGATCAGTTCGGCTCTTCACAGCACATCACCGCCATTGATTCACAGCCGCAGGCGGCCCAGCCGAGCTCGCTGCTTTGCCCGAGTGATTCGCCTTCCGGTCGCTACTTCGAGTCGGCCGACGACTGGGGGGCGGGCGCCGCTCGCTTTGGGAAGGGAAGCTACGCCGGCTACAGCAACCCCTACCACGCGGACCAGCTGTATTTCGGCGGGCCTTTGGCGCACTTCGGCATCTCACCCCGCAAGATCACGGACGGGACTTCATCGACATTGCTGCTGAGTGAGGTGCGGACTCGTGAAGAGCCCTTGGATTATCGCGGGGTTTGGTCGCTCCCTTGGGCGGGAGCGACGCTCTTGTCATTTGATCTTCACGCCAAGAACGTGGGAGGACGATTTCCTACCGAGCAAGACAACTACGAGCCCAACCCCATCTCATTCGGCGTTACCCAGCCGCCCAACAGCCGACAGCCCGATGTCATGTACGAGTGCAACTCTACGGCTGGGGAGGTGCTCGATCGGATGCCCTGTGTTCGCTGGGCCGGTAAAGTTGTCAACAGCTACATCTCAGCTGCGCCGAGAAGCCTGCACCCCGGCGGCGTGAACGCCGCCTTCATCGACGGCCATCTCGCCTTCCTCAGCAATGACATCGATGAGTACACGATGCTGTTGCTGGTGCGCCAGAACGACGGCGAAGTCATCAGCACGAGCTACTGAACGTTTCTTCTCCCATGCAGCCCTCTCCCCAACGGCTCGGCGCAGCTGGCCCAGTACTTGTTGGGCTCGGTTTGCTACTGGTCGCGGCAGGCTTCGTCTGGCAGCTGACTTCGAAGCCGGAAAACTGGCTGAGTGATGAAGCAGCCCAGCGCTACGTCGACGCCGCCGAAGCGCTGCACGGCAGCACCATGAACGCTGGCCCTGAAGCCGAGCGAGCCGAAGACCTCCCCGCGTACGCTGACTATGCCAAGGCGTCGGCCGAAGTCGAAGCGGCCCGAACGCGACAAGTCTGGGCGCCTCGGATCATCCTGGGCATCGGGGCTGTCGTCGCGATCGTGGGCGTCATGGGCATGCGCTCGTCTAGTTGACTGCGACGCTATTGTTTCAGGCGAGCCGGGAGCGTCAGCGACCGGAGGGACCTGGGCATACGGATCAAGGGCGTGTACCTGCTTCACTCCGGTCGCTGACGCTTCCGGCTCGCCTTTTTCTGCTGGGAGCAGGCTGCCTATCCCGCCTGGACGCCCCACCCAGGAAGGGCGATGATGGGGGGCTAGCCGCCACCTGCCCCCCTCCTTCCGTCTCACCCGCCGCGCGCCGTGTCCTACAATCTCACGCACCTCAAGCAGCTCGAAGCGGAGAGCATCCACATCATCCGCGAGGTCGCCGCCGAGTTCGAGAACCCGGTGATGCTCTACTCGATCGGCAAGGACTCCGCTTGCATGGTCCGCCTCGCCGAGAAGGCGTTCTACCCGGGCAAGCCGCCTTTCCCGCTGATGCACGTCGATACGACGTGGAAGTTCAAGGAGATGATCGAGTTCCGTGAGAACCTGATCCGTAAAGAACTCGGCTGGGACCTGATCGTCCACATCAACGAAGAGGGCGTGAAGCAGGGCATCGGCCCCTTCACGCACGGCAGCAAGGTGCACACCGACACCATGAAGACGGTGGCCCTCAAGCAGGCGCTCGACAAGCACAAGTTCGACGCGGCCTTCGGCGGCGCGCGGCGTGACG